ANATNNTGCTNTCTGCANCNTGACGAAGGTGTATNAACCTTACGTTCCGTAACACACACACATATATATATATATATAAACAACACACACACACACACACACACATATATATATAAACACACACACACACACACAGACACATATATATATACATATATATATATGTGTATATAACTGTATACTAACAAATACATATACAATGGCATACTTCATCTGTAGAGGATGATATTTTTTTTTGTATCCTATATCACACACACACACAGTATATATATACATATGTATATATATATATATGCACACACATATATATATATATCTATAATATATATATATATATATATATATATATATATACATATATATATATATATATATATATATAAATATATATTGAATTAAATGTAACGTTATAAAGCAATGCATTAACCTATATTAGAAACCCTTTTTATATACGAGGGACGGAGATATACACAATACGAACTTTTTCATACATATATGGACGCATGATAATTGATCTAGATACTTCTGATGAACTTGATAGACATGCAGATAATTATGTGTATAACTTTCTGGTTTGTTGCGCAAAATTCTGTGAACACGTTGTTCCTGCAACCCCGTTCTAACTCTCAACGCACGCACGCCAATCGACTATAAATTTATGTATCGAAAATAGATCCACCTGGTATCCTAGTGCATGCGCGGCTCTAGTGAATATCTTGACTATCACATGGTACAGAACTAATATTTTAAAAGGATCTAGTTCGGATGGTACTAACATGAAGGAAAGCCAGTATTGTATATTCGAGCGAGATATATAACATACATTTAACGTTTTTTCGGACATCTTGATCGACAGCGGCAGGGATCCAGTCAAGAAGCATCCCAAGAACATGAACAAACAGATAAGCAAGAGCCCGGAGGACTCATGTAACAGCGAATCGGTCATCTTCAAACAATGTGAACGGGCAGCCGCTAGACTGACACTTGACGACGCGTAGAACTGGGTCAATAATTGCTTGGCTTTCTCTTGGCCAGCCTGAATGGATATCTTTGTGGTGTTATAGTTCACTCTCATTTATACCTATATGCGGACACAGGACTCTCTAACATCCGTAGCAATATGTAAATATTAACATATATGTACGCTTCAGTACATAGAGTTCGTTAAAGCCACAACACAAAACCTATACACCGCACGTCACTCGCTTCGCCTCTTCGTACCAGCGCCAGTCACAGTGTACCTATTAAAATTACAGTTCAACCACAGCGCACAGGCATATACACGCGAATGACAAACTCATAAAATAGAAAAGCCAACACAAGCGAGAGGGAGTGAATATTGAGAAGATCTGGCCATCTGGGACTCTGGATCCATTGGTACAACACACTCTTGTTGTTGTGTTGATTGTTGAAGACTCTTGAACTCTCTGCCCCTCGGTGGTACATAGACGGTGGTCAAAAAAGCAAACAATTTCCCATCCTCAGGCATTCATTCTGACATCTTGAACACGTCTACTGAAGTGATATTTACTGTCAGAGGCTCAGAGCGCTCACAGTTGACAACCAGTACATAACAACTCACAGTCTCACAATTGACACTTGACATCACCAGGCAGCGCCAGTCCTCCAGGGCCCAGGCCCACAGTCCCCACTCCTTCATGTAAATATATAATTTATTTAATTTTTTTACTCTCAGCCCCAGCGGCCCCCACAAATAAAAACAACGTCATCAACAATTTTGTTGTTTAGAAAAAAAAAGAGTTATTTTTAACTTCAAAAGTTAAATAATATTTTCTTAAAAAACGTAAATATTAGTTCTCTCGAGGCCTGGAAAGTGGAAACCTGCAAGCTGGTTCATAAATATTTACTTATTTATTTATGTACTGTACATATTTGTATTCTTTTGCTATTTGCTTTAAAAAAAAAAAAGGAAACAAAACAAGACGGCTCTTTTATAAATATAAAAAAAACGTACGTTTTGGCCTTTTTGTTTCTTTTTTACCAAAAAACCCCCAAAAACCCCCGATATTTTTCCTCACCAATGTCCAAAGACCCTACACCCTACTATGAAGATTGTAGTCGAGAGTTCGAGACTCGAGAGAGTAGAGACTGAGAGTGATGACTCTGAACTTCTGAAGTCTGATGACCTCTTATGTGTTGTATGACAGTGATATCATGATTTTATTGATGACGTTATATTAGTTACAGACTTGCAGTACATACACCGTGTATAAATGGACGTATATTTTAGACTGGTGACTGGTGAGTGGTGACTATATAGACTATAGAGAAACATGCACTCTCTCAGACACTATAGTGAGCACAGTTTTTATATAGACTCTTTGATAGCGATACACCATAGTGTGCGCCATCGCCATCGACTAATAACAAAGACTATCACACCACTTATATGTTATCCACATATTCATCCATATATACTTGAATAACATTATGCCGGTTCTATCAGCAAGGAGTATAGTTGTGCTTCTGGTCATATCGTTGGTATCTATTACGCATGGACTCAAATTAAATGCACAACCTGTACCTGCCACTGCTACGCTCACTCCGGTATGTAGACAAAGACTAAAGTGCTTGTATCCAACAATTTCTGTATAGTAACAAGTGTACATCTATACAAAGATACGTAATTGCCTTTAGTTTTTCACTCGCACATACTGACAAATTCATAAAAGTGAACAAATTTCGCGCTTTTAAATGGGCTTTATATATTCAATCCATACAATACAACGTACTGCGATTTCATGGCGTTGAACTCAATACTCGTGTGCGAGGCTGACACTGCCAATTATATGGGTCAGAAGTATCGACACTCTGACTGAAATGATTAGCGCAGATACTTATATTCAACCCGTGTTTGAAGGAAAGTGCTGTATCACAGTAAAAGTCCGTGGTGCTACTACCGGCAGACCAGATAGGAGCATCGAGGACGCATATTACAAATGGCGAAGTACATCTCTAGTGTCTATATACATATTGGAGTTACGTGCTAGGTCTACTAGGGTCAATTACATGCTTACTTCAGCTATTGTCCGAAATGACACATTAAAGTGTGTTTATATGTTAGCGTGATTCCCTGCTTCCCATATGCGATCCCAGACTTAATTCAGCTGCTGTCTATATTATCTTAGGTGGTCGACCAATCACAAGCGTGGGAGGCGCCAAACACTGAGAGTGATTGGAAGGAATGTGTTAATGTTGAACTCGTTGGAATGGTTTGTCTGGAGGCATTCGCAATCCCGGAGAAGTTGGTGAGTATGTTTGTCACTACATGTTATTTGTATGTGAGCTATCGTTCGAAATTTCTGTGGGATTACATGTGCAGAAGTTTGCTTTTGCAGTTTTTACCACTGTTATTTTCTGGCTGTAGGTCAGTGAATTCACTTCGCTCTGAACTTACAAGTTGGCTTCGTAAACTATCTCTAAAACCTCGATGAGAACCGTCTCCAATAGTAGTGGTTCATAGCTCATTTGTGGATACGATATTACTGTAATATTCGTACAAGTAGTCGTCATATTTTTTGTATGTGTCATTTTTATGTTCTCTGAAGATCAGCTTTAGCTTAAACCCCGAAGTAATGGATAGCAGCATGTTGGTTTACTCTTCGTATGTACTTAGGCCTCAGCATATAGCACATAGACAAAATACTCAATCATGAACTTTATCCAATTTTGTGGTTGGGCGTAGTGCCTTGGCGTATTATCGCTAAGACCACCCGCCTCCACATAAACGGCCTACAATGTCGCATTATAACTACACATATTCGCTTTGTATATCTTTGTATTCCCATGTACATACACCCTAGTCCATCTGCTACAAATGCATGGACACGCTGCCCTTGCGATATGTACGATTGTTGCGTTTCAGAAATGTAGACACCAATTATCGTCATGTATATTTTGTTTCTGATGCTTGCATCACAGCCTATATAATCCTCCACTTTGATATGTGTGTGGCCTGATCTGTCTCGCTGGTGCGCATCCTCCCCTGTATTTCGACCCTAAATCTACTGGTGTGAACTAATAAACCCAATCCTTCAATGGATTTGCCCGCACATTGTATTAGACCGTTGGCTTGAAGTTGTTGGTACGAGACGTAGTAGTGATGCAGCGGTTGTACGACGGACATGAAGAGTGCGCCGATGAAAGGGATATACTCGCAATTATTGGGAACGATCCTTCGCTAATTATCTACAAGCCGCTTATCGACTCCATTGTGGCGGCAGAAGCGTATCTGGTATGTGTAAATGGCTCCGGTATACAAATAAGACCGGGTAAGTGTACGGTATGATGTTATCAGTGTAAGGGTGATGTGATTTGATACTATATTCAAAGAGTGAAATCTAGTTGATCATGGCGTAGCTGTACTTTAAACTATGCAACTTGAATGTTACGTATTACAAAGTATGCCAATAGAGTAGTCAATTCTCATCTTGGCAGCAGGTCATATATAGAAGTCAGAAAATTTGAAAGTTCGAGAAACAAAGGCACTGTCGTTAACCAGCTCGGAATTTTACGTTCGAGGTGTGAAATGAGACGTTTCAGACCTCCCACACGCTTCCGACACGCACATAGTAAGGCATATATGATATATATATATATATATATATATATATTGACGTTTCAGACCTCTCACACGCCTCCGACACGCACATAGGAATGCATGTACGCGTTTGATATATATATATATATATATATATATATATATATATATATATATATATATATATATATATATATATATATATATATATATATATATATATATATATATATATATATATATATATATATATATATATATATATATATATATATATATATATATATATATATATATATATATATATATATA